ATATATGCTTCCTTCCTTTTCAATAAGTTTTTATTCCATGTCTAAACAATATTTCAAATAAACAGTAATAAAACAAAATGTAAATCTTTCCATACCACTTTAGTGTATCGATTAGATGTATTTCTCAATCTCGCATATATTATACGGCATGTCGAAGCCGTACATACATGTTTGAACTTCTTCCGAAGCAGGCGCTATTTGTTACAGCCTTGTAGCACATCTTTACTAGCGACAACTTTACCCTACAACCATGGAACGACTATAAATATTAATAATCGTAATAAAAAAGAAACATATCGTTAACGTATACTCTTTATGTATGCAACGTTTTTTCTCAAATTTATTACATGTACAGCGCCTTTAATATTCCCTTTGCGTGTTCAACTACAAATTGATATCGTATCGTCAATATTATTTGGGAACATTACAACATTATTCTGTAGCTAGTTTGAGTACAAATAATAAGAAAAAGAAAATAATAGAGTTGTCTATTTTAACTGAAATGTTTCCTGATTCTAAAACAATAGTCATCTGATTTTAAGGATTTTTAAATTAAAAATAAATCAGGTTACGGTCTGTGAACTAATTACACCACCTTGTATTTGTATTATGCTTGCAGTAACAGAGTATTATACCGTTGATACTAGGCATGCCTTTAGGTTCTGTCGTTTCCATATTTCCCGGCAATTTTGAATTCTATATTCGAATGTGTTTAAATTTTGAATCTCAAAACAGTTGAAAGTATTAGGATTAATGCTACTGTTTAGTCACAGTGTCGATTGGAATCTGTCAGGTTACGTACTAAAATGAATCTTTCTAAGGAAAATGTTCGTGCAATAATTTTCTACAACTTTAGAAGAGGCCTGACACGGCTTCAGTCTTTTGAAGAACTAACATCTGTGTTCAGTGATGAAGCCCCATGTCTGCGGACTGTTGAACGCTGGTATTTAGAATTCCAGCGTGGACATACTAGTGTTAGTGACAAATCTCGAGAAGGACGCCCAAAATCCGCCTTCACTGAAGATAACATCATTGCTGTGAGACAACTAATTCGCGAAGATCGTCATGTGACGTATCGAGAGATAGAGGCTCTATATATACCGCATCTGCTTTCCGACGATCACAAGGCGACCCGCGTCTGATGGTATAAGAAAACTCTGCCAAGGTTCAACCGAGGAGAGTCAAGTCACGTCTACGACATCATCAGTGGTGATGAATCTTGGATCTATGCCTACGATCCTGATTCCAAACAACAATCTACAATCAGGGTCTTTCAAGACGAGCCAAAGCCGACTAAAGTTGTTCGTTCTCGCAGCACTTCAAAGAAGATGGTGGCCACGTTCGCTGAAAAAACCGGCCATGTTTCGATTATTGCACTTGAAGATCGTAGAACGGTTAACGCAGACTGGTATACCACAACCGAACGTCGAAAATCTAACTCAAAGCGACGCATCATCCTGCACCACGACAACGCAAGCTCACACAGCGCTCGTCAAACGATTGAGTATTTAAAACAGGAAAAAGTAGAAATTCTTGACCATTATACAGTCTTGACCTAACAGTCAACGCTTTCAAGTTAGCCATTTTGAACACCCCCACTTTAGAGTGGAATAAATGTTATAATAACTGGTTTGGTTAATAGAAAAGTGTTTTAAGCTACGTGGTGAATACTTTGAAAAACAATAAAAAGTACTATAAGGTTCTAGTTGTGTTTATTCCTTCAAACGACAAAACTTAAAAGGCATGCCTCGTAGATGTCACAGGTGATGTTAAGTTTACTGATGTAATGTACGTCTTGACTACGTCATAATAATACGTCTTGACTACAACATGCACCATTAAATAAAATAAAAAATGTATTAATCACTATTTAAGACTTTTACTACTGTAATGTCGATGATGTTTATTTTCTGTCATTATATTGTAAACAATTGATTTAAAAGGCTAGCTCTCAGAAAGGAAAAGTATTCACTTTAAAAATATTATTCTTAACTTTGTTTTTTTATGTTGTATAAGTTCCTTGCGATAACTTTTCTCAAGTAAAAGTTAAACATATTTGAAATGGTAAACTGATAATTAGCAACTATTCAATTAAGAGATTATAATTCCAAGTTGTATATTGCTAAGGAATTTATAGCTGTACTTAGAGTACGGCAGCAAACGGTGCGAACTACGACATGTCTACATAAGGAATATAAGTTTGAAATGGCATACTAGTGGTTGTATGTTTGCATATTTTTGTTTCTTTGTACCTTTTTTTTCTGTGCGGCAATCTAACTAAAAACCGCCCGCCGTCTCGGGTACCAGCAGCCAGGGAAACAGGTGTAACCTAGAAAGGAAATCCCTGGTGCCCCGATGTACCTCGGGCCATCTACGGCGGGTAGATGACCCCCTCCTGTGTAGGAACCCCCATGTTCCCTATGTGCTCCCGGAAGGGCGCGCGCTTTCGCCGCCACCTCGGCCTGCTTCTGCTAGGGTAGGACAGACGTAGTTCTGCGACCTCCGGAGCCTGAATTGTCTGTGGTACCTGGCTCGTGCCCGGGCTTGGCGGGCCAGGAGAGTTCTAAACCTCTCCCGGTCCCGCTCCGCCATCTCCTTCGCAAGCAAAACTTGCTCGCAGAAGAAGACGGCGGAGTTCCACGCACTCTTGCTCCGCACTATGGCCGCAATCATGTTAATGAGCGAGTGAACTCCCACACCGATGGCCGCTACGAGGCTACGCCTATGCTCCACCCACACCGGGCATTCTGCCAGCGTGTGGAGCGCCGTGTCCACGGTTCGGCCATCGCAGTGGTGGCACTCAGGCGTTGGCTCCTCGCTGATCGGGCACAGGTTATCCCCGAAGCATCCTTTCCCAGTAAACACCTGCGTCAGCCGGTATGAGAGGGTCCCATGATGCCTCTCGAGCCAATCGTCCATAATGGGTCTTACTCCATAACGGCGTGCCCAAAATTTGTCATTGTACCTTAAATAATTTAATTGCTAATGCTTTGTTGTTTTTTAATAATCTTATTTTCATCTTTACATGTTAAATGTTTGTTGATTATTGAAAATTGATTATTTGATTGATTGATTAATACACGAACTAGGTAAAACATTGTGCAATTCTTAAACTATTTTGCAATCAGCGACAATAATATAAATTATTATCCCAATAGATTTTTTAAAGAAATCCGCTAACTTTTTGTGTTTTTAAACTAAATATAAATAAAGTTTAGATCATTTTTGCCGAATACAAATTAGTACATAACATTAAAACAGAAATCTGCGCATTCCAATTTTAAACAATAAAAAAGATAATGAAAATTCCATAAAACCAGCTTTATGTCTCCTACTAGTATTTCAATTAACATAAATAAGTCATAAATTATTGTTTCGACAAATTATATCTCGTAGATATACTTGTTTCTACCTACTCAGACGGAGTATCTTAGAAATTTGCAGTAATATGTCAATAAATTATACAGTATATACTAATTATTATCTACACCTTTCTTTCTCGGGTGATTAATGATTTGAAGGCACGTAAGGAACAGAGGTCACATAATTATTGGAATTTAAAATAGTTTTTTACCAATGCGTATACTTCATAATTTGAGGCAAGCCAGTCAGAAATCTTCAACATATTTTATACGGTTGTAGTATTGTTGTAGACTAATGGACCATAACGTTACACGTTGCAGATTTGATTCCCCCTGTATGCATATGCTTATTTCTTAAAAATGGAGATAAACTACGTTCTAATAAGCCTTAGATAATGTCTATGTGATGATGTACTTAGGGTATTAATTTATATTATGACTAGATACATACATATTGTATAGTTTTAAAAAACTGGTTTTGAACCATTATTCCAACGCGGTTTAAACCATTATTATTCATTTCATCTAAAATTTGACAGATAAAGCAAATTCCTGAACAAGACCAATGCTTCCTTAGCTCAATGGAATCATACTTATGAAAGCCACAGGGTTTTTTTCATTTCATATATTATATTTCCCTGTAGACATAAAACTAAATTAATCGTTGTTATTAATTCGTTTCGATAGTTTCACCAATGGTACATAATGTGGCGTAGTGGTTTGTGTAACGGACTGCTATTCCAAAGGTTCCATTCCCGCTCAAGTCAAACATTTGTGTGCATGAACATTTAATGTTTGATTTGGTCTGGGTGTTTCTATGTATAATAAGTATATATTTACGAAAAAAAAAGGATATATGTATTAATATCAGTTATCTATTAGGCATAGTACAAGCTTTGCTTAGTTAAATTTTAAAATTGACTTAAAGCTATGTAAATCTTATCCAATAAAACAAAATGAGAAGTATCTATCCAAATATTTTTGTGGGTTACCTCTACCTACATTCATTATTTCGAGTGTTCCAGTTGTTTAACTGTAAAGCTTGTAAAGATAGAATTCTAAGGGCTCTTTTATTTAAATTTGAATTTGAATATAATATTTTCTATTTGCAAAATTGCTTCCTGGCCCAAACCGTCTTCCTAAGGATAATAATAATATATAATAATATAATTTATTGTCTCAAAAAGATACATACAGTAAAAACACACATAAGTTACAACAATTCAACATGTACAATAGTTTTGTTGACCTCTGGTACCCAAAGTAAGATTTAACTTGTGGTATGGGTACCAGGGCTCTCGTACTTAATTGCAACAGGTAGTTATTGTAAAAGTGTAATGTATCGTAGTTGCATACGCATGAGGTGGATTGCTTAAGCCTTAAGGTAGAAATAACTTATAGAAATAGATATTAATATTATAATAATATATATCGCATTATTATATGTTTATATACGAGTATATTATGTTACAAAGTCTGTATGTATGTTGGTGTGTGTGTGTGTGTGTGTGTGTGTGTGTGTGTGTGTGTGTGTGTGTGTGTGTGTGTGTGTGTGTGTGTGTGTGTGTGTGTATGGGTGTGTGTGTGTCTTTGTATGTGTGTGTGTCTGCGTATGTGTGCGTGAGGGATGCATTAGAATTATAGTATACTTAGTTTTATCAAATTTTCTGTATCTTCATAAGATTTGGACAAGAGCCATGTGGTAACTCGTTTCTTGCATTGCGATCTAGTTAATGGATAGATGTCACAGTATTCATTAGCTACATTATATAAGTGGCAGCTTACGACATTGAAGCTGCGCGCAGCTAACGCACTTCTAGAACTTTGGGCTTGGCAGACCTTTCGTGCACGGCGCTTTCTTGTGACTTCAATGTCATATTCCAGACCAATATGTTTTCTGCAGATTGTTTCAAGCACAAAGAGCTGTCTGACAGTAAGCAGTTCACATTCCTGATATAATTGTGCAGTCGAATATCTAATAGGCCTAAAAGTCATTACCTTAAGGACTGCTCTTTGTGCTCGCTCCAATGGCAGAAGGTACGATTTCACAGCGCCACCCCAGATAGATATACAATATGTTAAAACAGATTGACACAGTGCGTAATAAACTGATTTCAGGGTGTCAAAATCAGCTGTATAACGCAATTTTTTGAAAATGTATATCATCTTGCGGACACGGGCAGTTACATTACTCAGTTGGTATTTCCATGAAATATGACTATCAACAAAAACTCCCAGATACTTTGTGTGTGCGGATCTCAGTATAATTGGACAGTTGCAGGTATCAGTGGATGTGTATGTCGAACAAGTATGAGCTCTTATATTGAAGGTTTCCAAAGGTGGTTGAGTTTTAGCTGTCTTTGAGAACGTGATGTAAGTAGTTTTCTTAAGGTTAAGTGTAAGAAGATTGTTAGATAGCCACTGCATTACACGACTAAGAGCGCATTCTGCACGAGCAAACATTAATGGCCAGTCTGAGCCACGGACAAGTATTGCAGTATCGTCTGCGTAGGTAATGATAGAAGAATAGGGAAGGGATAAGGTGCACAGGGAATTAATGTAAAGGAGGAAAAGGGTTGGACCAAGGATCGATCCCTGTGGGACACCAAAGAGAAGGGGCTCGCTGCTACTAACAATGTCGTCTATCTTTACACACTGTGTCCTATCAGAAAGATAATCTTTGAAAATTCCGAGCGCATATCCGCGGATGCCCATTCCCTCCATATTCCGTAAGAGATGTGGAACAGAGACAGTGTCAAATGCTTTGGTAAGATCGAGAAATATCGACAGGCATTTCTGTCCATTTTCGAGGCTGTTTACTATTTCATCAACCAGAGAAGCCACCGCGTCTTCAGTCGACATTCCTACCCTAAAACCAAATTGATTCGGCGCTAAAATACTGTTTTTCTGTAAAAAAATTGTTAAGCGGGTGTTTAGCAACTTCTCTAGGATTTTGGACAGTGCAGGCAGGACAGATATGGGCCTGTAATTACTGACACTGTCTCTGTCTCCACCCTTAAAGATGGGATGCACAACAGCCCTCTTAAAAGATTTGGGGAAAATCCCCTCAGCCATAGAAATATTGCAAATGTGGGTTATTATTGGTACCAAGGTGTTTGAGCACTTTTGCAATAAATGAGCAGGTATCGCGTCCCATCCGACAGCAGCATCTTTACGCAAACTTCGTATAATTAATTCAACCTCCGACTCATCCGTTGGCAAAAGGACCAAAGAGTTAGCATTTATGTTATGATTTGGCAGTTGATTATTTTGTATGTTAGAACTAAACTGCAATGCTAGGTCACTACCGATGCGGGAGAAGTACTCATTAACACGGTTTACAGATGTCAAATTATCTCTGTCTATATTTAATAGTTCAGAAGGGGATTTTTTAATGGAATCCGTGTAAGTAATGTTTTTAATTATTTTCCAAGTAGACCGTGGATTATTTCGTGCTTTCCGTAGTTCATTATTCTCGTAGTTATGTTTTAATCTTTTTAGTAATTTATTGCAGAAATTTCGGTATCTAAGATAGGTTACTTTAAGGGTATAGTTATCAGGATTTATTTTAAGCTGTGTCCTCATGGAGAGACTTATGTCTAGCAGTTGACTATTAAAGGCTGTTGATGTAATGTGGGATGTTAATTGTAAAATATTATTCCTACGGCTGAGCAGAGCAGTATCTCCAAACTTCTTTGAAAAGTACTTTTAATAATGCTACATGAAGTTCCAAGATTCGTGTAATTCAGTGTTATTCAGTAATTCAATTCGTGGATTTCATCAACCACTCAACTGCAGGCGATAGACCCGATAGGCGATATAACGAGGCTATCGCCCCTAATAGATAGTATATATTTTCAGGATACATCTATGAAATTGAATACATCTATGATAATATTTTATGTTCAATTTCAGGCAAGATACACAAGAAGGCACAGTATCATATCGTATGAGGGAATACTTGAGTTTTACATTTCATTGATCAGCCTATCGCCTTCACAGTTGAACGAAGGCCTTCTACAAAGAGCGTCAACCATCACTGTCATGGCCTAAGTTTTATATTTACATGCATGAATATGTATTAGTCTCATGAATTTCAAAGTTATTTCATTTTAGACAAGTTTATTCCAAAGCAATTTCAGCGACATTTTTATTCATTTGACAGCTAGGATTTTTTCTAAGGAATAAAAATTCAAACCTAAATTAGCCAAATCCTTTGCGAAGGCCGCGTCAATTTACGTAAAATACTTATCTTGCCTTTTCAAAGAAATAATGTCACGAAATGTGTAACAACGATTATGTCACGAAACTAATGTCTAGAAATAAAATCTTTAAGGTTAAATGACAGAATACAGAAAATAAATTATTAAAGTTAAGTATTCAAGGTGTTCGAAGAAAACAGATCCAAGTCTTTTGTCTCTTGACTTGTGTAGTACAGTTATGTGACATATGAAGTATATTATTAAGATTTTCTTTTATCTCATTTTTATTCTATTAACAATATCTATATTTTCTTGTTCGCTGACGTCAATACGAGAATTTTTGTGACATGTGCCCATACTTTCTGTGACATGTGAGAAAGCATTTTGATGCAATAAACTCGAATAGCAATGAATAAAAATGATTTTGTAGGGTGTAAAATATGAGTAGTTTTAATACAGGAAGGAACACCAAAAGGTCCTGAGGTACTTTATTCTAATGGCGAGATAACATAAGTATGAACAAGACAGATTTCTTTTTAATTGGTATATTAACTACTTTTAATTTAATTTATCAAAATGTATATCAGCCCTACCGTAGAACGGGAAAGTATTATATTAGTTATAAAAAAATAATTAAAACATACCACGAATATCTAATAAACCTCTTATTAAAAGGCGTTTGGTTAAAACGAACAAATTAATGTATAATTCCAACATACGTAATCACATGTGGCATACATCGACAACGGTATTTCCTAACAAATATCCTCGTTTAGAAGAAATTCCAAATTAGCATAAAGACGGTGCCAGACACATCACGTTGACGTGAGTCGACCGCATCTCGGATAAGCCTATTGGTCAAGGTTTTCTTATGAATATTCAAGATAGCTTCCACTATACTGTTCATGTCAATAGTGCAGAAAACGTGTTGGTAGGTAACTTATGGTTTATTACATAGAACGTATAATTACTGCTGTGATTGTGATGGACTTTGATTTTATAGGCGCCGACACAATACAAAATTATTCGGCAGACTCGAAGACCATTGTGATATATAGCTGCTAAGTCAAGTGTTCGATTTTCATAAATGTTTTATTGATTTTCACCGAACGCGGTAAGGAAACAATAAAGTTTATTTAACGTAATGAAAATTCAATTTATGATTTCTATATTTCTGGTGAAATCGATATGCTGAATATTTATAAGTTATAGAGAAATACGATTTTAAACTATACTATTGTTTTCTAGATATGCATATTATAGAGCAAGGCAACAATCTATTTCTCTTCTCGATTCAGTTCTCGTACCGTGACTCTTATGACCGTTCGGCATGGTGAACATCTGAATTATTAGTGTACTACGTAATTAAATGTTTTGTCAAGTAAAAAACACTGACACCAGCCTGAGAGATTTGTACATATGTGACTAAATATAACACTGGAAAGGTTGAAGAATGAAAAACGTAGAATCGTAGAATTCTCATTACACAATGAGTTCCTAAGGACTAATTGTTCTCGTAAAGGTAATTGAAAAACTTGATAATCAAACACATGATTATTGATGATTTTTACATGGTAGTACGCGCGGGCGCTAGATTTCTCCAACAATATAAAAGGGTCCTCCAACCAGGCGAAATGATCGTTAGTTTGTAGCAGGTTAGAGAATTAGTTGTGAATCTGTAGTTCGGTGTATCTCGTTACAGGATATTGAAGTGTGGTTTTTCGTTGTACAGGCAAGTTGCAAACCAATTTTTTGTAAAGCTTTAGTAACACTTCGGTGGAGAAGGCCCATATGTGTCGAAGAATTAAATAGCTCTCATGAGCTTAAATGTTAAATTTAATATCAAATTTTTCGTCTAGAAACTGTAAGTACAACCTAGATACTCTAAGACAGAGACGAGATGGATTATGACCAATTAATTGACGGACCTGTTGGTCTAGTGGTTACTGACCCTGACTGCTAAGCCGGAGGTCGTGGGTTCGATTCCCACCCAGTACAATTTTGTGTGATGAATACGGTCTATAAGTATGTTTATCAGGTGTCTGGTTAGCATAGTACAGGCTCTGCCTGGTTTAGGATCAGATGGTCGTGAATGAAAAAACGGCATACTTCGTCCTCAAAGGCCACCTGCTAGGTTTATCGTCATACACGTTAATAATACGTAATTTGAATTTGAATTATTATTACAATTCGGTCATGCACATTTAAGTAATTAGCAATAATCAACTGCGTGCACATCTATCTTCCTCTTTCAAATATTTTTCTCTAACATTAAGTAATTTTCACTTCGTATTATCATAGCAAATTCTATTGAGATTAAAATTTAAAACAGGAAGGATTTATACCCATGCGAAAAACGACGAACTATTTTCTTTAGCTGACCTGCCCAATACCGAACCGTCGGCTGTAACTACAGATCTTTAAATATGATTTTTTTCAAAAACGGCAGTACTTTTAAAAAATCTCATGTCACCTTTTTTTACGTTTTCATAAAAAAAATCCTACCACAATCATCATCATCACACATCAACAGCCTTTAATAGTCCACTGCTGGACATAGGCCTCTCCTTAGAAAGGAGGTTTTGGCCCACTATAACACGCTGGCCAGACGGGTTGGTATAGGGTTTGTCCACGAATGACACGAACCACAAGATTGCCAACAAGATATACTGCGCTATTCTCTTTCCTTACATGTATGACTCAAGATATTATAATTTTAATTACATATGACGTATAAAGATCCGTCTATCATAAGCAGTTTTTTTAAATTTGACGTCAGTCGTCAAGCAGTCTGACTTGCGGATCATAATTTTCTCCGTAGGTGTAAATTAATCAAGATAACTTTGACATATTTGTAGAAACTCATCAACCTTGTTAGCTCTTACATTGAGATCGATATTAGTCATTAATGCCGACTAATCCCGATGACGTTATATAAAAAAGTAGAATCTTCATTTGTTTTAGTAAAGCGAGGATTTATGTAGTCAAAATAGAATATCACACCTAGCCCACTGAGACAATTCCAAAGTGTAGATTATTATAAAAGATCTTCTACTATAAAGAAACCACACTATTAACTTACTCCTTCCTGGTATATTTAAGACGGACCACATTTTATCACATTCGCGTATCCTTTACCATATCAGATGAAAAGGATAAAACAATAAAAAATCCAGTTGTGTTCAAGAGTGAATTTTCTACATTAACCTATCTAAAAATATAATAATAATAATATTCTTTATTGACATAAATATTGTACAATTATAACAGGATTCTCTGACCAGATATTAAGTCAAATCAATTAAGTCAGTAAGACCAGATATTAAAAGTCTATAGAAATAGGGAAGAAGTGTATAAATATGTTTTAGGTTAAATTTGTACACTCTGATATAACTGAATCAAGAAATTTTCACAAATGTGAAACTACTACTTTATACTGAACAAAATGGCTCAACAACAATCAAATCGAATCTCGCGTGACTTTGAATGTCGGTAAACTGGGTTGGGGTCACTGAATTAATCCAATTCATACGAAGCCTATATAACGTTTCAATTCTATATAATTACTACCCTTTGAACTATATGTTTAATTCGATGGAGTCCAGTGTGCTAAATTAATTTATTCCAATGATTGGGTCGTGATTTTCTACGAATTTTGTCGAGTCGAGTCGAGTCTTATTTAAACGTTTGAAAGGGACAGAAAATAAACGCTGTTCCGATATTTACCCCATAGTTCGTTGTACAACGACAATACTTCAATTTAATTAAGAAACAGCTTGATTGGATTATTTTAATCTGAGGGAATGAAACTTATTAGTGAATCAAGTGAAATCGTGATTTTGTTACGATATTACCTAATTATGTGCTTAATCAATGATGAAACCTAGTGCTATGGAATTGTATGGCTATAAGTGAGAAATATTTGTAGTTTGTCAAAATAAGGTACGAAGTAGAAAACAATTTTATCTTATTGATTTTATAATGATGTATATTAAACATGCTAGAGCTGTTCCTTGTTTATTATCGTTACGGTATGGTAATGCATGGTTTTAAGAGTTCACTGGTAACAGCGGATAAGTTTCGTAATGCATGCGTGACACTACTGCTGTTACAAGTGTATGCGGTCCACTTAAATTCTATGGTTCTTTGATAAAAAAAAGAGTCGTACATTTATTGTTGTATCTTTTTATATTTTTATTTTATTCTAGTTAAATAGAGTCAGGTTATAAAATTATATTAAAGTTTATAAAGACGGATTCATTCAAATATGTATTAAACTCCTTTTGTAAGCAGAAAATAAACAAATCGTAACCTATTAGTAGTTTTATATGCTACCGGTAACTGGCTTCATTTTTGAATAACGTTTATAAAGTTATCTTATTT